TGTTGAATTGTAAGAATGCACTACATCTTACCCCTTAGTTACTGTGAAGCCAGTGCAAGTATCAGCTTTGTGATATTTGAACTCTCATTTGATTTTCATTAGCCATTTTTTTCTCAGATATAAAGTGAAAATACACTACTTTTTTGGTTTTACCATGAAGTGCCAAAGGAGAGCATATGGAAGAGTCTTGGAGAGTAAAGAAATCTTCAGTGTGTGGCATTTTGTCCTTTCTTTCATTTTAATATGGCTCATCTCTAGGAGCTGGCTTTTGTGAAGCATATCACACCTCCAAATTGATAGAATTTTGAGGGGTAGGTGTCACAATATTGCATTTGTTTTATTAATTTATTTGAAAAACAAAGAGGGAGAGAAATCTTCCATCCTCTGATTCACCCCACCACTCCCAATACCTGCAATAGCCAGAGCTGGGCCAGGCCCAAACCAGGATCCAGGAACTCTGTCCAAGTCTGCCATATTGGTGACAGGGACCAAAGTACATGAGTGTTCATCTGCTGCCTCCCAGGGTGTACATTAGCAGAAAACTGGATGGGAATCTGAATTGCCAGGACTTGATCCAAGGCACTGTGATACAGGATGTCGGCTTACCAAGCAGCAGCTTAACCTCCTGTGCCACAACACCCACCTTGTCTTTTTCTTCTGTGATCTCTTGGGGGAGGGAAGAAGCACATAAGTAAGCCATGCTCACAATAAACTGCTGTGTTCTTGGAATGCGTTAGGTGGGGTGGCAATGGAAAATCTTGCTTTTTCGCTAGTCACAGTGCAAGGATTAACATAGAATCTGGTCATTTATGGAACCAAAGTCCACAGGGTTAGAATTAGTCTTCTTTTTGTTGCAATCCTGGTCCACTTCTTAGTTAGAACACAGATTTCAGTAGTAGTTGTTCTGTTCTGTCAGTTAGGGAGGCCTACAAGGGTATGATCTCCTGTGCTGGTTGCCATTTTTGTTTTTATTTTTGTTTACTTATATGAGAAACAGAGACAGTGAGCTCCCTTCTACTGGTTCACTCCCTAGATACTGTCAATGGCCAGGGCTAAAGCCAGGACCTGGGAACTCAATTCTGGTCTCCGATGTGTGTGACAGAAACTAAATTACTTGAAGCATCACTGCTGCCTCCTAGGGTCTGTCTGAGCAGGAAGGTGGACTCAGGAACGGGAGGTAGGAATTGAACCCAGGCACTTTAATGTGGGTTGCAAGCATCTGAACCAGTAGGCCTGCTGCTTACCTTTACTAGTGACTTCCTGCAGCAAACAGATAATTAAGAGAAACACGATACTTTCCTATAGTTTGAGGATACTCAGATACCATCCTTAGACCCTGATATACCTGTGTCCCTGCCCTTGCTCCATGTTTTTGAAGGTCCCACCTTTGATATTACCCATCTGCTTCTACACCACTCTAAGTACCTAGGACCAAAAAATTACCTGACAGAATACCTGACTCTTACCCTCAGGCATATAGAACTTCTTACTGAATCCGTGCACACAAAGGTAGATCAGACCATTGGACCCAACCCCTATTATATATATCCCTAGATCCTAGGTATGGTCAAGGGGCAACTCTTTCGGAAGGATATTCTGAGTTCAGCCACATAGTTGGAACACCTGTGCACAAGGCCACTTGGGATTCAGGGAGGGACCAGGGTTTAGGAAAAACTTGGGTGGAATGGGGTAGATTGGAGGCTACCATCCTCTATTTGGACTCTTGCCCCAGCTATGCAGCTGTCAGGGTCAGGTCTGCCCAGAGGAGTCTCTCCCTTCTGACCAAGTACTTATTTTATGAGTTGTAAAAAAGGCGGTTGGGGAGTGTTTTCTTCACCTCTCACTTAGAGGCTGAGTATAGCAAGCTCAACATGAGCGCAATTAATCTTTGACAATAATTCGCAGAGAGTGGCCTGGGGAGGTGGAATGGGTGAATTTCCTGACAGGAGGCCCTTTTCATGTGCCTCTTTCTCCCCTGGGTTAGGCAATGCTGCTGATGCGTTGTGAAAAGCAGGAAAAATTCTGCTGACACACTGCACTTTTATGAAAGAAGGCTAAGGGTTCCCTTATCTTTCCACACAAGACACATCTGCCTGCAAACAGGCTGTCTGCTTTTTAGGGATTCCTTCGTCTTTTTGTTCCTTTTCTGAAGGTTTGAAGGCACAATCTGGTGCATTCCTTTTTGTTCTCTAGAGTCAGAGGAAAAGTCATAATACATCAGAGCTCTTGCTGAAGAGCTTAACATGGACTCTGGCAGCTGAGATATGGGGAGAGAAAGCTTTCCAGGGACAAGTGACCTGCTTGTTTGACCAATGAGAAACAGGTTAAAGGAATGATATCACTAGACAGGCTTTATTGTCTGTCCATCCTATAAAAGCAGGATTGTGTTTGGCAGCTTAACCCTTTTTAGGCACTTCATGTCTCATCCACTTCCTGGTATGTGTTTCTTCTAGATTCCTTTTCCCAGTTGTGAGCTGTGGGGTCTTACTAAGAATTTTCTGTTTGGGGGAATTGAAATTAGTCCTACACATTTGGAAAATGTCACTGATAATGAGAGAAATTTTGAGTAAGAGTTATTTGTAAAATGTTTGTTTATTCTTGCACTTTTTTTTAAAATTGTACTTTGTTATTGTTTCCTCCATGAAAGCAACAGTCTTTTAGTTCTTTATTCTTCTATTTCCTCAGTGGTAAAATGAGTGGTCTTATCCCATGAGTTGTTGAAATAAGAAAATAATTCTTTTCATTTTAGATTATAATACACACATGTATTATTTAGGACATTTATATATATTAAGAGGATATGTTCATTTATTCATAAGGCTTTTTTTAAAGGATTTATTTTATTTATTTGAAAGACAGAGTTACAGAGAGAGGTAGAACCAGAGAGAGACAGAGAGGTCTTCCATCCGCTGGTTGGAAGCTATCCCCAGATAGCCACAATAGCCGGAGCTGCGCTGATCTGAAGCCAGGAGCCAGGTGCTTCTTCCAGGTCTCTCACGCGGGTGCAGGGGCCCAAGGACTTGGGCCATCTTCTACTGTTTTCCCAGGCGATAGCAGAGAGCTGGATAGGAAGTGGAGCAGCCAGGACTCAAACCAGCACCCACATGGAATGCGGGCGCTGCAGGCTGCAGCTTTAACCCGCTGCACCAAAAGCGCCTGCCTCTCATATAGGGCTTTCATAGCTGAACGATTGTGTGCTTGTTAATTTGTTCAGTAGACTTTATGCAGCACCTTCTTGATTCTGGACATATGGGACACAGATATAAAAGATGCAATTCTTAATTTAACATAATGAGGAAGATAGAGAATAATGATACTAAAACTGTTTCATACTTGTGGTTACTATATACCAGGCCCAGTTCTAAGCACTTTGAGATATATATATATATATATATATATATAATATAATATAAATATAAACAAACTCACAACCCTCTGAAATGGGTACTACTGTTATTAGCTGCATTTTCCAAATAAAGAAATTGAGCCACAGAGGGGTCAGATAATCTTGCCTAAGGTCATAGAACTTATGGTAGAGTTGGGATTTTAATTTAGGCAGAGGGTTCCAGAGTCTGTGCCCTAAATCTGTGCTGACCAGCACAGTAGTAACTAAGCCATGTGGCTTTGGAAGGGCATGAAATGTGGCTAGTCCAAATTAAAATGGACTGTAAAAATGTAAACAAAACAAAACACATAATCCCCCATTAGATTTCAGAGATTTAGTATGAGAAAGCCTGTATTTAAAAAACTCATCTTGGGGGCAGGCAGTGTGGCGTAGTGGGTAAAGCCGCTGCCTGTGATGCTGGCATTCCATATGGGTGCCGGTTTGAGTCCTGGCTGCTCTACTTCTGATCCAGCTCTCTGCTATGGCCTGGGAAAGCAGTAGAAAATGGCCCAAGTCCTTGGGCCTCTACACCCCCGTGGGAGACCCGGAAGAAGCTCCAGGCTCCTGGCTTTGGGATCAGCGCAGTCCTAGCCGCTGCAGCCATCTGGGGAGTGAACCAGCAATGGGAGACCTCTCTTTCTTTCTCTCTTTCTCTTTCCCTCTCCCTCTGCTTCTGTATCTGCCTCTGCCTTTGCCTCTCTGTAACTCTGCCTTTCAAATAAATAAATCTTTAAAATATTCTCATGCTAACACTACATATCGCGGTGGTCATATTTTGAATATAATGATATAAGTAAAATTATTAAAATTAATTTCACTTCTTGTGGCTAGTAGAAAACTTAAAATTGCTTATAGGGCTTGCATTTGGAAGCTTATATTACATTTCTGTAATTTCTGGATTGTGCAGTGTTATATTGCAATAATGATGACGATAATAGCAGGTGACATTTTTGAACACTATGCACCAAAAATGCTTTTTCAATTAAGCCTATTTCAAAATATTTCTGTTCATTAATAATCTTTATTTTGTAGAAGAAAAAAGAAGGTTTTGAAAAGTTCAGTAATTTGCCTTAGATCAGTCAGCTACTTAATGGCAGACCTCAAATTTGATACTTTGTATAGCTGCTTCAAGAAGTCTGGGCTCTTTAAAAAAAAAAAAAAGTGCACTTATTGTGTAACTGTGTTTCCAATTACAACTTATGTTATTTTCTTTAAGTTATGTAAGAATATTTAATATTGTATACTTTTGTATCTGACACATAAGGGTTCAAAATAAAAAGAAATCACTCAGCCAAAAGATGAAAATCTCTTTTGCAAAGCCTCAGCTCTTAATAAACACCAGCACAGTTGAACTTGAAATGAAGCAGTGAATCAGCCTGTATTAATTGCATTTAGTTTTCATTCCAGTAGTTCTCTCAGATCACTAGGCAATGTATAGCCTCACCTTCTTTGTCCATAGAGAAAGGAGGAGAGGCAGTATAGCTCTACTTAGCCATCCAGTTCTCTTGACTGATACAAAGAAAAAATGTCTTTCTATATCACTGGCTTCAGAAATGCTGTATTTGAGAGAGCATCAAAATGTTGTCTGTTGACCCCTGATTTTCCTTTCTTCTAGAGCAAAGACTCAGGCGGATTGAAGGCGGCTATGATAGAGTTGGTGGAAAGGTTAAAGTTCAAGAGCTCAGACCCTAAAGTAAGTATTTTGGAATTGATGAATGTTGGTGTCATAAGAATTTTGTTCTGCTTCAGCTATGTGTAAAGGTTGTTAATGATCTTGTTTCTGAACACTGAAATAAGATCTAATTAAGCTTGCCCATCAAAATCTATGTTCTAATATGCCGGAGATAAGTCATCTATTTTTTTCCCTTTATTTTATGACTTACAATGCATGATCATTAACTGTTTTCCCTGAACTGCCGAGATGTGCATTTTTAATCTTCCTTTACTGGACCTTTGAGACTTCTGTCCTTTCTGTCCATTAAACCCAGCCAAAGGCATCTTAGATACTGATCAGCTTAATGCTGAGGACTGGAACAGGATCCAGCCCCATTCAGTCAGTATTCAGTACTAGCATCTTATTTCTCCCCCACTTACAGGACAACTGCCACTGAAAATGCTTTTGTCCTCGTGTCCTGGAGTCTAGTCTGGGAAATGATTTTTTTTTTTTTTGACAGGCAGAGTTAGACAGTGAGAGAGATAGAAAGGTCTTCCTTCCGTTGGTTCACTCCCCAAAGTGAACTGGCTGCCATAGCTGGTGTGCTGCACCGATCCGAAGCCAGGAGCCAGGTGCTTCCTCCTGGTCTCCCATGCCCTTGGGTGCAGGGCCCAAGGACTTGGGCCATCCTCCACTGCCTTCCTGGACCACAGCAGAGAGCTGGACTGGAAGAAGAGCAACCAGAACAGAATCCGGTGCCCCAACCTGGACTAGAACCCAGGGTGCTGGCGCCGCAGGCGCTGGCCTGGGAAATGATTTAAACATTCAGGATTTTTTTTTTTCTTTCTTTTTTCTTTTTTTCTTTTCTTTTTTTTTTTTCTTTTCTTTTTTTTTCTTGCAATTTGTTGAGGACTAGAGGGTTGATATTCTGGGAGACACCATACAGAGTGGGGGTGGACTGAGAACTTTCAACTTGCTCGAGAGATTATGACTAACACAGATTCTGTTCTTCCTACCCAGACGCTTATTGTGGCACTACCTGGTATCAGGGCCAGCTGGCTCTCCCTGAAACTCAAAGCTTCTCAGAATTAAATAGGGAAAGGAACATGATTGCATTTTACTTTATGTGCCTCCTTTTTTCCCTTTTTTCTTTTTTCAAGTTCTTTATAAGGGGAATTGGATTAGATTTCTTGAGTATATCCTAAGAGCTGGGAAATGTACTAGGATGCCTTACATAATTGTAATAAAATACATACATTAAAATCTTAACCATTGTCAGCATACAGTACAGTAGCATTAAGTACATCCAACTGTTGTGGAACCACTACCATCATACATCTCTAGGAACAAACTGAAGCTCTGTTCCCATTATTCCTGTTCCTTCCTTTTAACTTTTGATTGCTGCACCAACCCTGTAAAGCAGCTTATTATTCCTATTTTATTGATAATGATGCTGAGGCTTAGAAAGTTAGAATCATTTGTTCCAAATCTAATATAATGTAGAGGTAGTGGGATTCAAACTCTGACTCCAGTGCTTATACTCTTTTATGTAATGCTGTAAACCTAACACAGTTGCATTTCCTTTCTACCATATAATTCCATTGTTCCTCAGTTTTCTAAGTTGAAATACCATATGAAGCAGAGCCATGGTGACAGTCTCTTTAGCAGGCGGCTGCAGTCACCAGTCTATAACATAAATTACTTACAGCATTGCAAGTACTGGGGCATTGTTGGTGTCTTGTCTTCTAATGTAGTTTGGGAGGGATCCAGAGGTAGACAGTATTTTGATAGGGAAATTTTTTTAAAGAGGGATAGATGGAGGGAGAGAGATCTTCCATCTGCTAGTTCACTCCCCAGGTGGCTTCAGCAGCCAGGGCTGTGCCAAGCCAGAAGCCCAGAGTTTCTTTGGGTCTCCCACATGGGTGCAGGGGCAATCTTCTATTGCTTTCCCAGGTGCATTAGCAGGGAACTAGATGGGAAGTGGAGCAGTTGGGTTTCAAGCTAGCGCCTATGGGATGCCAGCATGGCAGGTGGCAGCTCAACCTATTACACCCTGATGCTATTCCCATAGATAGGAAAATTTAAAGCAGCCTATTTCAGTGGAGGCAGAGACCAGGTATAAGTAGTTGTTCCTTTAATGAAGATGAACTAGTTAATTATTAAAGGTTATTGAAAGCTGTCTTAACCCAATTACTCTATCTTTAGGGAAACTGCTTTGCTGAGGGGGACAATTATATTTTCTGTTTGTGCCACACTTATGTGACTGTAGTTAGTAGTGCAGTGAAGGGGAGAAGGGTGTGATAGGTCACACAGAGTGGCCCTTGAGTATGATGGTCACACAGATAAAGAGCTTTAGAATCCTTTATGAATGCATGTAGTACTTCTAATAGGAAACTTGCCAGAACTGAAAGAATTGGGTGGTCCCAAGAGAAGAATCCATTAACGTCTCAGGGTTTTCTGATGAAGCATGATAAGCCAAAGCTTATTTTTGGGAACCTGACTTGACTCTTGGGTAGGACTCTATATATACACCTCTGTTTTACCCTTTTTCTTGCCCTGGACCATTTGCCACTAACCTGTTTTATTTTCAAGTCCCAACTTAGTTTACCTCATGAGTATTCTGTATATTGTTGAAGTCAGCTTGAAGAAGGATGAATGAACATAACTGCAGGATGACTGCCAGTTCGGGAAAGCAGGTGAAAAATGGGCCACTGAATTACATAAATTCTGTAACAAAATTTTCCCAGAAATAACTTGGTGTCTTCCAAGAAAATCCTTAAGTTTATGGTCTCCTGTTTTCCTGCAGAACCCTCTCCTCCTTGTGAGCTGGCCTACTTAAGAAGGGCTGGGTCTCTCAGGCTTCATGACCTGTCATTTCCTGGCACAGTGGCTTTACAGAGAAGCACTGATTGATTGAGTCTTGGAGGACCAAACACTGTCTCTGCATCACTTCCTCTAGAATTCCCTAAAGCATCACAAAGCTTGATTAGTCCAGACACTAAAGTCTCCTGAGGACTGAGTTAATTCTTAACTCTGAGTTTTGCCAGAGAACAGTGGAAGGTGCATGGATTAACCATTTTTTTTAAATTATAAAATAATATGTGCTTATCAATTTAAAAATACTAGTTTTTACTAAGGAAAAGTTAAATGAATTCCCCCAAAATTAACCACTAGCAACAATTTGGCATACAACTTCCTAGACTTTTTATATGCAAATATATTTTGAATTTTTAAAGTAAAAATTATACCTATGGTTTTGCAATTGCTGTTTTCATTATGCAGGATATCCTATCCATTCTGTGTCTGTGATGTTGACTGAATTCTTCTTCAGGAGATGTTCTCATTTTATGTAAATGTTTGTTAGGCACCTTGTCTTCCAGACCGGTGTTCCTAAGCTTTAGTCATATGAAAGTCACCTGGAAGACTTATGAAAATACAGAGTGCTGGGCCTACTCTCAGGAGTTTTTGATTCAGTTGGTCCTGGGTGGCTAAGAAATTTTCATTTCTGTCATGTTCCCAGGTGATGCTGGTGGTGGTGTTCCTGGAAGCACACATCTGGGAACTGCTGTGCTGAATGTTGGCGATTTGCCATCACTCTGGTTTTGATTTTTGTTTTTTACCAATTCTGCAGATAGTCTGAAGAACCTCTGGAAATAAGTTCAAGTAATTTTGACTTTGAAATAGAAAATGAAGTACATAGTAGTCCAGGCTTAGAAAAAAATAAATTGAGCAGAAGTGGCAGAGAATAGGAGAGTAGAAAGGGAGGTATATTGGGAATTCAGCTCAGTCTGTCTGAGAGGACAGGATTTATTTATTTATTTTGTTTGAAAGATTTATTTATTTGAAAGGCAGAATTGCCAGAGTTGGGGGTTTCAGGGGAGAGGGAGGGAGAGAGAGCACACACGTGTGATCTTCCATCTGTTGGTTCATTCCTCAAATGGACACAATAACAAGGACTGGGGTAGACTGAAGCCAGGAGCCTGGAACTCCATCTTGGTCTACACAGTGGCAGGAACAAGTGTGCTTGGGCCACCTTCTGCTGCTATCTCAGGGGCATTAGTAGGGATCTGGATCTAAGTGGAGCAACCAGGACTCAAACCACCACTTAAATGAGATGCAGGCTTTGCATCGCTGGCCCAGAGATTTATGTAGACCCATCATTACCAACAGATAAATGTCAAAAGCCAAAAAATGAGGAAAGAAGACCTGGTCAGCATTTAAGAGGATGACTGAAGCCCATGCCATAGTTTAGGAGTAGATTGCATTCCAAATCTGCAGAGTCAGTAAGAAACATAGATCCCAGCCACTAGGAGTGAACCCGAAGACAGGAAATCAGGGCCAGAGATGGTTGAGAGTAAGGCACGGTTCTAGACATGCTTGGTTCTGTGATGAGTCCTGTTTTAAGGATATATACCCTGCACATCTAGAACATCCATTGCAGAAGATCACTTTTTTTTTGAACTTTTATTTTGTAAATATAATTTTCCAAAGTACAGTTTATGGATTACAATGGCTTCCCCCCCCCCCATAACTTCCCTCCCACTCACACCCCTCCCATTTCCTGCTCCCTCTCCCATTCCATTCACATCAGGATTCATTTTCAATTTTCTTTATATACAGAAGATCAATTTAGTATATATTAAATAAAGATTTCATCAGTTTGCACCCACACAGAAACACAAAGTGTAAAAATACTGTTTCAATACTAGTTATAGCATTAATTCACATTGGACAACACATTAAGGACAGAGATCCCACTTGAGGAGTAAGTGCACAGTGACTCCTGGTGTTGACTTAACAATTTGACACTCTTGTTTATGGCGTCAGAAATCTCCCTAGGCTCTTGTCATGGGTTTCCAAGGCTATGGAAGCCTCTTGAGTTCACTGACTTCGATCTTATTGGACAAGGTCATAGTCAAAGTGGAAGTTCTCTCCTCCCTTCAGAGAAAGGTACCTCCTTCTTTGATGGCCTGTTCTTTCTACTGGGATCTCACTCGTGGAGATCTTTCATTTAGGTTTGTTTGTTTGTTTGTTTTTTG